TGTTAGGAAGAGATGGATCCAGCTGAGGTTTCTTTAATATTGGCTCAACAACAGCTTGTTTAACGAAGCTGGAAACTGAGCCAGTATGAAGAGAAATATTTATCATTTCCAAAACACAGGGGCCAATGGAATCAAACACACTAGTGAAAAGTGACGAGGGAAGGACATCAAGGGGGCTTGAAGTCTGTTTTATATGACAAAGCAGGACTCTGATGTCTCGTAATGTAACAGGAGTAAAAGAGGACCAAGTATCAGAATCAGTTCTGAATCAACAGCCAGTCGGACAAATTTCCTTCAGATGTATATAATACATGTGTTGTTGCCACGTGTCAGTTAAACACATGAAGTTGAGAGATTCCTTCATAAAAAGATTGTTTAAAATAAACGATTTGTTTGTGATTGAGCGAGTGTTGAGCAGGGCAAACCTGATCGATGACGTTTGGTTGGTGCACTCAACAGCTGACTGCAGTGGCACTCGAATTAAACACCTGTGCGCACCTCTACACCTGTTGCGCCGGGTGGGGACTTCAGGGCTAACTGAAGCTAATATCCATGGTAGTACATCACCTCCGCCATCAAAACAGCGGTCGGAGAACTAAAAAACAAGATGAAGAACCCAGACGTGGCAAGAAACAACAGACAACCTGATGACGAATGAAAGAAAACACACAGACTAAATACACACGAGCTGATCAGGGGAAGTGGAAACACATGGGAAACAGCTGAGGCTAATCTGACATAATGAGACAAAGGAAGCACACTGAAATAGGACAGAGAGTTTCAAAATAAAACAGGAAACAGCATGGAATGATGTAGACATGATAACACAAACTTGGCAACATGAAAAAGAAGACAAGAAACATAACTAGACTAAATAGAGACCCAGGATCGTGACATGTGGGTCACAGCTGGAATTTGCTGGGGTTTCACTAGTGGCAGGTTTTCTTCTCCTGCTGTGTTTTCATCTGCGGACAAATTTAAAAAATCAATCTAACTACTTCAAAATCTTAAAAAAAAATACAAATAAATTTGGTGGTATTTTTAATGTGGGGAGTACCTGAGTACCTCTGTGAAACGGTAAATAGATGTAAAATCTCATTTATACTTTGCAGACACAGATGAGCAGCAGTCAAAAGAACAAAGTCTTAGTTTGAAAGCAAATATCTTTAAATTCAAACTCACAGCATAAAAATGGATTTTCAGAACAGCTGTTAGCTTTGCTTAATCACTGCAGCCTCCAACTCCAAC